CTTTCAATTCTACAAACTAGGAAACTGTTCAGAGCATAAGTTACATACACATATAGATTCAGGTATGACTTCTTTCATACGCTGGGTTCTTTCCCAAAACCAAGGAAACCTTGGTAAACCTAGTGGGTTAAAACTTCCCTGGTGCTTTTTAATACAGTTTTTAAATTGTTTATTGGCAGTGTTGGGGATTGAATTCAGGGCCTTACATATGCTAGGCAAGTGCTCTACCACTGAGCTACACTCCCAGCTCTTTTATTTTATTTCAAGAACTTGCAATCCTCCTGCCTCAGCCTTCAGAGTAGCTGGGATTACAGGCATATACCACCATGCCCAGCTAATACAATTTTATTTTACTTATTTATTTTTTTGGTACCAGGAATTGAACTCAGGGAAATCAACTACTGAGTCACATCCGCAGACCTTTTTGTATTTTATTTAGAGATACAGTCTCACCGAATTGCTCAGGGCCTCACTAAATTGCTGAGGCTGGCTTTGAACTCAGGATCCCCCTGCCTCAGCCTTCTGAGCCACTAGGATTACAGGCATGCACCACCATGCATGGCCAATTTTTTCAATAGAATGAAATAGGAAATAGAAAAGCCTAAACTTCAGTATGTATGAAAGTCAATGTAAATGAAAGCAAACATGCATAAATGTACTTGATTACCATGTAAAATGTAATTTCTTCCTGTAGGTATGAGTCAAAAATATTTGACCATCACTAACCATGCATCTAACCCCACTTTTGCTTTTACTTACTGTGAAATTTTTAAAAAGTCATTTCACTGATTTATTCCTTTATAAAGCAGGGATATAAATAAATTTCTTACTTTCTAGGAGGCTTTTGAAAATCAAATGAGATAAAATATATGGAAAAAAACTTTGGAAACTATTCTCTCAATATGACTTTGTACTTTTAAAACTTGATTTGAAGAGTATATGAAAAAGTTGACAAAGATATTAAAAAATTAAATTGTAGATGTTAAGATTGAAAAACCAGCCTCTATCTCAGAGCAAAGCCTGTCCAAGGAAGGGACATGACCTTAGTCCTTGGAAAGACCCACAGAGCACTCCTAAGCACATTCCCACCCTGCTGAGTTGCTTATCTACAAATAACAGGAGAGATCTGCTGCACCAGGTGTCCCTGACTTAGTCAGGCTAGGTGGGGATCCATAGCAGCCCCCTAGCAGCCACCAATCAGCATGAGACAGGGAAATACCTGGGATGCCAGTGGTTTATGGTGGTTGATAACAAGTTGGGAAACCATGTAGTTCAGCACGTACACCCCTCTTGGCTCAAACCAATCAGTTCAAACGAATACCCCTTTTGTACTGACCAATCACCCCTACCCAACTTGTTCCCACCAGTGAATGTGCTAATCATGTTTTAGAGTTGTTATTTGATTTTCCCGAGGTGTGTGATGATTTGCTATGATGTATGTGAAGTCCCTGCCTTCCCCAAAGAATGTATAAAACTGCTGCAAACCCTGGGCTCGGGGCCTCTCAGTGTCACTAGTTGCTGTGTGTGCACGGAGGACCGAGCTAGCTCGCAATAAACACCTCTTTGCTGCTTACATCGATCTTGGGTCTCTGATGGTCTTTGGGGGTCCCGAATTTGAGCATAACAAGATCAGGCAAGGCGGGCAGCAACCAAAGGAGGCAGATTTAAAAAGGCCGCCGAAGGAGGCTTTATTGAGACTCACTCCTGGGCGGAATTCTATCAGACCGACAGAGTGGACAGGAGAAGGGTCTGAGGAGAAACTGCGTGGAAGCTTGACCGGACTGGACTTTTATGGGGCTACAGCAGGAAGGGAAGGGCTTGGGACAGGATAAGATGTTTTTAGAGTCCCTTGTCCCATTGAGTTGGTCAGGGGAGTTGGCTGAACGCCAGGACTGGCAAGGGGTTCTGCTGATTGACAGGCATTTCTTTCAGCGCCTGATTGATGTTTCTTTTCCATGGGGGCTGCTTTGTTCTAAGTCACTGCCACCGACCTAACAGTAGATATCAGAATTGGTGGGACTGTTACTATCCCTTAATCTTCATCCCCATCTAAGTAAGAAGAAGTGGATATGAACTATTTGTGAATTTCAATTTTCTGTGATCATTCATTGCCCACAAAAGTCTCCTCTACAAAAGTAGAGCACCTTACCCAAGGCCCAAATTCAATTACTGTCAAGAACTGAATTGAAAAAACAAATGCAAATAACAGAAAGCTATTAAGCTCTTACTGCATTCATGCTGATAGTAGGCCCGCCCTGGCCCCTGGGGACTCAACCCCCAGTT